CTCTAAATGATACTACGCAGGCACTGGATGCACTCAAGCCAAGAATTAAATGAAGTCAGAGAAGCACTTCCCAAGAACTGCGCCACTATTGCTACACCACTTGGGGTGCGAAAACTTCACATGTGTTTTAACATTACAGTTAATTCCTGCAAGGTATCCCAATTAACAGGGGACCTTTGTGATCAATTAAGATCAAGATATCCACTGATCTATTTGATAAAATTGGTAACTGAGGATCTTACTTAAGGGATGTGATCACAATTTGGGGCCTAAGAAATGTTCATCCTTTTCCATGTGCTGAGGCATGTACCCCTTGCTGCCCATCATGACCCCCTGGAGCCACACCACGATCCCCTGGACCAACCCCTGAATAGATTCTAACTGCCATACAGCCCACCACCCCATTTCAGCAGGAAGCAGCCAGAGTGGTGACCAACCCATTCTCTAACGGCAGGTAAGTTTACTATTCCAGGGAGAGGAATGAGTAAGGGATAGGCAGGACTAGGTAGGGAGAGATAGATAGGGGGCTCTGCGATCAGGTCACAGAAATCCTAAAAATGTGGAGAAGTGGGGAAACCAGAGGTAAGGGAACAAACTGGACCATCCTGTTAGGTGTGGGGGGTGGGTGTCTTTTATGATAAAACCTGTGGCGAACAAAGAATAATGAGACCCTAGTGGAGGTGGGCCATTGAAAGTGTTATCAATAGTCCTTGCTCAGTGGTGATATCGATAGAGATGTTAAAAGGATTTAAGTTCCTTGGTTGGCTTTCTATAAAAGACCAACCCTAAAGGCCCTCCTAGGCCTGTCCGGACCCCTCTCTCTGCAGAGCTTTTTCTCTATTTTCACTTAATAAATTTCTATTATCTTTGCTTACATAAATAAATAAATAAATATTTTTAAAAAGGGATCACTGATCCTACAACTACTTCTCTTTCCTGGGACTTAACACTAATATATTTTTTCAATTTTTTCCATTGAAAACATGTTGTTCCTGGGACTCCTGGGTGGCTCAGTAGATAAGCATCTGCTTTCAGCTCAGGTCATGATCTCAGGGTCCTGGGATTAAACCCTGTGTCTGGCTCTCTGCTTGGCGGGTAGCCTGCTTCTCCTGCTCCTCGCCCACTCACGCCCTGCCGTGCTCTCTGTAGCTATCTCTGTCTCTCTCTTAAATAAATAAAATCTTAAAAAAAGAGAGAGAGAGAAAAAAAAAGACACCTCCCCATGTCTTTCGTGTTCGACTGTAACTGCTGTGAGGGCAGCGGGTTTCTGTGTCATTCATTCATGTCACCCTAGCATGTACAGTTAGTTCCAGGCACGCTGTGAGTGCTCAGTTACTTGTTAACTCAATACAAGCTGGAAGACAGAAAAAATATAAGATTAAGACAGCAAAATAGAACAAAGAGTGAAGAGGAGGAGAAATGGACTAAATCAAAAAGAAAAGAGATGACCATGTGGGAAACCAAATGTGCCAGTTAACAGTAGGCTAAGGGGAAAAAAAGGAAGAACTGGCCTGTGTGAAAAAGACTTAGAAAATAAATCCAAAAATCAAGACGAAACTTGTTTAAAACAGCTTTTACACCTGAGCTGAGGTGTTCAATCCACTAACGAAGTGGAAGGAAGCCATCATCCAGACTGGAGATGCTCAGGACACCACACAAAGATATAAAGTTCAGCTCACACATTCAAGGAAATGTCAGGGCTTACTTAGGCTCTTACACACTGTGTTTCTCCTGAACATGATTAATTTTTTTCAGTATACCCACTAAAATGATTTCTCAAAACAGAAAGAAATATATTCAAATAAATGTCAACTTTTTGTGTGAATTTCAGACAGACACAGATGTTTAGCTTTACCAATGACTAAAGTTTTAAAGTAAATAATTCAACTCTGAATTCTCTCTCCCTCCAGTCAGAACAACAGTCCCATTTCCTTGCTAGAGATGGGACTGGCCTTCAGGAGACCTTGTGCCTCTACCAGAAATCACATCGCTTTTCTAGGTAGGACCATTTAGCCCCATCTCCCAGAAAAGTTTTCATCATTTGAGAATCACAGTGAATGAGACTCAAGCCAGCAAAGCAAAGACTCCTACAGAGAACGTGCACATGATGTCACACAGAACTCGAGACATATTTTTTTAACTGATGAATGTGAAGTTTTTCTGCTTTTTCTTTGCATTTTCTGGGAAGGAGTAAAATTAATAGAAGGTACAACTAAGGAGAAAAAATATGTAACTTTCTATTTCTTTTTTTTTTTTTTAAGATTTTATTTAGTTATTTGTCAGAGAGAGAGAGAGAAAGAGCACAAACACGAAATAGGGCAGCCAGAGAAGCCTGATTCCTGCTGAGCAAGGAACCCAATGTGGGACTCAGTCCTGAGACCATGACCTGAGCTGAAGGCAGTCACTTACCAACTGAGCCACCCAGGCATCCTCATTTTCTATTTCTGATAATCAAGAAAGATGTCCAAAAAAAGTTAAAAGAGGAACATTTAAAGAAGAGGCTTCTGGGGCATCTGGGTGGTTCAGCTGGTTGGGCATCCGACTCTTGATTTAGGCTCAGGTCATGATCTCAGGGTCCTGAGATCAAGCATCCTTTGGGCTTCATGCTCAGTGTGGAGGTCTGCTTGAGATTCTCTCTCACCCCCTCTTCCTCTACCCCTCCCCCACATGTGTGCACGCACTCTCTCTCTCTCTCTCTCTCTCAAATAAATAAATAAATAAATCTAAAAAAAAAAAGAAGAGACTTCTAAGTGACAAAAAAAAAAACTTTGAAGTAAACTTTTAAAATAATAACTTATAAATAAGTAATCTTATGCTTATAATGCAGGTGCAGGCTCAAGGAGAAGGAGAGAGAAAGGAAGAAAGGAGATGGACTGGCATTTTCTTCCTAGAGTTTTATGTTTTCTGCCAACAAAATTGGCTTTTTCTTTAAACAACTCAGCTTAGTTCAAATTAGCAAAGTAGAGGGGCACCTGGGTGGCTCAGTGGGTTAAAGCCTCTGCCTTCGGCTCAGGTCATGATCTCAGGGTCTTGGGATCGAGCCCCACATCGGGCTCTCTGCTCCACAAGCAAGGAGGCTGCTTCTCCATCTCTCTCTGCCTGCCTCTCTGCCTACTGATCTCTCTCTATCAAATAAATAAATTAAATTAAATTAAATTAAAAAATTTAAAAAAAAATTAGCAAAGTAGAAAATTACAGCCTGCTCCATAATTTAATCAGAGATACCCACTGTCAATTCTTTGGTATGTAACATTTCACACCTTCTGCATGAAATATGGCTATATAATATACAGGCTATTCATTATTTACAAAAGCCAAAAAGTGGGAACAAGCCAAATGTCCATTTTCTGATGAATGAATAAATAAATTGTGGTACAGCCATATAATGGATTATTATTCAGCAATAAAAAGAAATGAAACACTGACACACACCACAACATGGGTGACCCTTGCAACACTATGCTGACTGAAAGAAGGCAGTTACAAGACACCATGCATTATTTAATTGCATCCATATGAAATGTCCAGAATAGGCAAATCCATAGAGACAGAAAGTAGATCCATAGTAGCTTAGGGCTGGTGGGTAGAACAAGAATGCCAATGCCTATGGGGGTACTTTTTAGGGGGGAATAAAAATGTTCTAAAAGGAGACAGATTATGGTGATGGTTGTGTAGCCCCAAGACAATATGAAAGAACACTGAATTTTACACTTTAAGTAGGCAAATTATATGGTATGTGGATTATAGCTCAATAAAGTTGTAAAATACAAGCAAGAAAGATTTATATAGACTGTCCTGCAACTACCTTCTTAATTTCTCATAGACAGTGTTTTACATCAGTAAGATCTACAACTATGCCGTTATATGTGACTGTACAATGTCCCACTGTATGGGTATACTGACGTTTACTTACTCGATGCTTTACTTTAGACAGGAACTTATTTCTAATCACTGTATTAAACACTTAAGCATGTACACATCTTTGCATACCTGTATCACTGTTTTCTTAAAAAGAAAAAAAAAAGAATAGAACTGAGGGCAAACGGTCTGCACTCTATAAATTGAAACATATTGCCTGCTTGTCCTCCAGAAAGGTCATACTAGTTAATGTTCATTGCAAAGGAAAACAAGAACAGTTTTTTTCTCTATATTTACATCAGTGCTGAACATCATCAAACGACTTAATCTCTGCTAATGGCAGGAGACATAATTTTTATGTATATACTTTTTTTAAGACTTTATTAATTTGAGAGAGAAAGAGAACATGCACATGTAAGAGCCAGGGGAGAGGCAGAGAGGAAGAAGCAGGGAGCCCAATGTGGGGTTCGATACCAGGACCCCCAGATAATGACCTGAGCTGAAGGCAGAGGCTTAACTGACTGAGCCATGATTATTAAGAATAGTCATTTTTAATAGTCATTTGATATGATAGCTGTCTATACTTCTGTCCCTTATTCATTCTTTAGTTATCTTCTTTTAAAATCTTACTTATTTAACTGGAAGAGAGAGTGAGAGAAACAGCAGGAGCAGGGGGAGGGGCAGAAGGAGAGGAAGAAGCAGACTCCCCACTGAGCATGGAACCCGATGGATGCGGGGCTCGACACCAGGACCATGACCCGAGCTGAAGGCAGACACTTAACTGACTAAGCCACCCAGACACCCCAATTCTTTAGTCATCTTTATTAATTTTTCTGACGTATGCTACAAATCGTTCTTACCAACTTGTCTTTTAACTTTGCTCATGGCAGCTCTCTCCTTACACATTCTAATAATTTATACCTTAAATTTATTGCTTTTTTCTTTATGGTATCTGACCTTAATGCCTAGCCTTTTGCCATCCCAGTGTCATAAAAAAAATATCCTGTATTTTCTTCTAGCATTATATTTTCTTCCTTTTATGTCTCAACTGAACAATCCATTCATTCCCTACTCATTGTCAGTCCTACGGCGTGCTTGAATTCTTTAATTCAGGCCGGTGAAATGTTTAAAAGATGACTTACCTAATTCTTGAGCCCAATTTATGATAGTACCAGTGTCTCCTGCATTGCTTTCAGCTAAGCATACAACTTCTTGGCCAATCTTCCACCCAATTAGAGGATAAAACCCTTAAAAACAAAAAAACAATATAAGTCAAATGTAATAAACAGATAATTCATTACAGAGACATCTACAATTTTGACTAACAATTGGATTATCTTAAAAAAATAGCAAAGTGGCTCTGAAGTCCGTGATCTCACAAGTTTCTAACCTCATAGCCTCAGTCTCCTCAACTGTAAAATGGTCTGCCTCAGACAGCTCCTATAAGAATAAACTGAATTAAAGCATAAAAAACTTAGTGTGTGCCTGGTATTTAATATGAACAATAAACATTGGCTTTTAGTAGCCGTAGGCATATCTATGTCTCTAAAAACACACAAACAGAGCCAACTACACTATTTTATTTATTTGTGAAGGCTCCTAAGTAGAAACAACCTAATACCATGATGAAATTTTCTATCTTCCATTTTCCAAGTTAGGGGGAAAGGAAGATCTTGAGGTGGGATTGAAGGTAAGAAAAGTATTTTAAAACTACCTCTTTCTAACCATGTTAAGAGACCACAGCCCAGATTAAGAGCCCACAGGCCTTCTAGGGTATAGTTCCACAATCTAAATTTCTTGGTTTACATATCCTAGGATGTCTTCCATCAGGGAAACCAATTTCTTGGCAACAGTCATTAAATATGTGTAGAATATTAATTGAGAATTACCACCCCCCAAAAAAATCACAAAAAGAACTGCTAACTCATAAGAGAAAAGTTAGAGGCCTAGAAAAATGCTTTAGGCAAATATTATAGATATTACAGGTAAATATTTAGTAAACTGACCAAAATACCCTAATACTGAGTTTTCTATAATATCTGTCTCTGGGCACCTGGGTGGCTCAGTGGGTTAGGCCTCTGCCTTCAGCTCAGGTTGTGATCTCAGGGTCCTGGGATTGAGCCCCGCATCAGGCTTTCTGCTCAGCGGGAAGCCTGCTTCCCCCTCTCTCTCTGTCTGCCTCTCTGCCTACTTGTGATTTCTGTCAAATAAATAAATAAAACCTTTAAAAAAAATAATATCTGTCTCATTTTTTTATGCTTTTAAGGAAAACAGGAAAATAGAAATTAACTGTCTCTAAGAATAACAGTGAAAAATATGTTAGAAAGTACTCAATATAAAATGGGAAAAGTGTCACAAAAGTTAAATATGAAGTGATATTTTATCAATAAAAAGGATAAATTCTAACTATTTACCTCCAACACTATGTTGAAGGTTATTTCCAGTATTAATATCCAAAAATGTCCCAGTTCCCATAGTTAGTTTCACATCTCCTGTGTGGAAGCAGCACTCTCCAAACATGGCTGACTGCTGATCGGCGACCTGCCAAAAATATTCAAATATAAGATGGCTGGGCATGAGCAGTGGCCCATTTCACTGTATCCCACTGTCTCCTATATTGTATTCTCATGGGTCAACATCTTATTTTCTTTTCTCCTTTTCCTTAAGGAAAAAAAAAGAAAGCCCTGGAAAGAACAAAGAGCAACAATAAGCTAGAAGTCTCTTCAGGACTAACATTGTGTGGTAACCAATGTGCCTCAGGAATTTTTAGTAGGCAATCTACTTTATGACTTTTAAATATCACAGGAAAAATCTGAGAAATAAAGGTCGGAATAAAAATTATCCAGAAAAAAAACAAAGATTTTTCAACTTAAAAGTGGTTTCATTCATTCATTCATTCATTCAAAATAACTGACCTCACAAATTTCTCTTTTAATAAGAGTGATATGTGTATGCTTAATATAAAGAGATATAGGTCAAAAGTACACATTCCCAACTATAAATTTTTGTTAAAAGAAAAATTATAACATTTTGTTAAAATAATTAAATGTAAATTGTCAAGTAACAATGTTCAACAGAGTAAATTTTAAAGCTCTATTTGGCTTTATTAATTGATGCATCCATTCTAGCAGAGGTGAGCTCCAAATGGCTAAAGAAAAGGAAAGTTTTTAAAAGTAGAATAAGAACAGAGAAAAAAGGAAACTATTAGCAAAGAACCCATTGTTTTGGGAACAGTTGCCCTCCTAAGGTGGACAGAAGGGGTCTATCATTAAATTTCCTAACGCTGACCCAGAAATTCCCATGTTGACTGGGTAAGGGTTACATTTCTGGGGAGCTGAAACTACAGGTGGGTTAGCTATTAAGTCTTGGTTTACTGGCTTGGAGCTGCCACCTTAGGCCTGTGTTTTTCTTATTAACAATTTCCTCTCTTTTGATCAGATTCTCAGTTTAACTGAGAAATGCGATCAAAATTTAAAGCATTAGCAGCATTCTCCATCACCACTCCAGAGTTCTCACAGCTGTTACTGATCCTCTGTGTGGTATTCACAGGTCATGATGGTTTTTTGCTTAATTTCTGTGATATTCACAGGTTACAACTTCAGGTTTACAATTTTTAGTCAGTTGTCTTCTTCATTCCTTTTCTAATGTTTCCGTCTTAGGGAGATCATTTGCTTGGTGCTTGGCAGCTAACATGCATGTAAAGCTTTTGAGAGAATACAATGTACCAGAAAGATTATTACGATAACTATAAACAGGATAATTCCCCGTATTTGGAGTGTACTTCAAAGCCATGGTTCCCAAGACCCAAAACAATTAAAATCAAATAAGTCAAAGAAAGACCCCACTGAAGACGTTACTCTCTAAAGCCAAGCACCTTGCTCAGTGATCTTTTTTTTTTTAATTTTTTTAATCATTTTTTTTTTATTTTCAGCATAACAGTATTCATCGTTTTTGTACCACACCCAGTGCTCCATGCAATCCATGCCCTCTCTAATACCCACCACCTGGTTCCCCCAACCTCCCACCCCCCCACCTCTTCAAACCCTTCAGTCTCTCATGGTTCACCCCCCCTTCCAATTTCCCCCAACTCCCTTCTCCGAACTCCCCATGTCCTCCATGCTATTTGTTATGCTCCACAAATAAGTGAAACCATATGATAATTGACTCTCTCTGCTTGACTTATTTCACTCAGCATAATCTCTTCCAGTCCCGTCCCTGTTGCTACAAAAGTTGGGTATTCATCCTTTCTGATGGAGGCATAATACTCCATAGTGTATGTAATTAAGTTTCGAAATCCCCAGAAGGGTTAGTCCAAATACAGCAGGTGGTGCTGACCAGAGCAGAGATTCCCCCTTGCTGGGCTAAAAAATAATCGAGGGCTATCCTACTATCAAGAACAGCCTTGGCTAAAGAATCTAAGGATGGCTATTGGGCCTCTGCTGCTTTAGCAGCAGATTCTGCAGTAATTTCAAGAACTGAGGGGAATTTCCTGATCATAGGCTCATTTACATTTACCCCTAACCAGGGAAGTAGGGACCTACCAAGAGGAGTGAATTCCTGAATCATGAAAACCTCCTGGCAGGTCCTTTCTAGCTCAACAATGTAACTTCAAGGGAGTCGCCCAAAGAGTTGTCTTATTTTGCTTGTGAAAAATTAGGGGTTCAGTTAGATTTTTTCCTACCCTGAACTAAAAGGTTATTGTAAATTCCAAAGACCCTGAAGCAATGGCCTGTGGAGAAACAGATGATAGCATTAACTTTCCAGGCTAATGCCAGAATAAAAGAAAGGAGAAGGAGAAAGGGTTGTACACTTAGTTAAAGTTTAGTCTTGATTCATCCCACATCAGCTACTTCTTTTCCTCATCAATTTGATTTGGAGGTGTCTCCAGCATCTCTAGAAGACCTGGTTGGAGGTGGAACCTTTGCAAGCTGTGAGATATGTACTCAAGGCTCCATCCCTTCTAGTTTTGTAGCAGTGTCAGTGATCAGGAGCATCTGGTAAGATTCCTCTTCCAGTGGGGCTCAAGGGCCATCTTCTTCTGCTAATGTTTCCAGAATACTTAATTATCCCGGCTCAGTATACAAGTTTCTGATAGAATTCCAAGAAGTTCTGCAAGGTTTTCATTAAGGTTCGTATGATTTGCCCAGTGAGGTGGATGCCTTGATCACTGGAGATTGTGGAAGGTATGTCCCAAACGGGAAACACATTTTCTAATAGTTTTCTTGCTACTGTGAGGGCATCACAGTCTTGCAGCAGGGAAAGGCTTCGACCCATCCACAAAACATACAATGAATAACAAGAACATACGGGTAACCCCTAGTAACTAGCAGCTGGAATGAAGTCCAGCTGCAGGTGTTAAAGGGTCCAGAGGGGTAGGTCTGAGGCTCTGGCAACAAAATCAGTTTTCCCAGGATGACCTGACAAGTCAGGAATTGCTGGTAGATTATTTTTACAATATTACAGAAGTCTCCCCACCAATGTCTATTCATAATTTTGGGTCATCTTGAATGCCCTATGGTTAGTGAAGGAATTTAAAAACTGAAAAATAGGGCGCCTGGGTGGCTCAGTGGGTTAATAAGCCTCTGCCTTCGGCTCAGGTCATGATCTCAGGGTCCTGGGATCGAGTCCCGCATCGGGTTCTCTGCTTGGCAGGGAGCCTGCTTTCTCCTCTCTCTCTCTCTGTCTGCCTCTCTGCCTACTTGTGATCTCTGTCAAATAAATAAATAAAATATTAAAAAAAAAAAACCTGAAAAATAGGGTTTACCAGGGAACTGGGAAAAACTAAGCAGCCATCTTAGTTTTCCCATAGCCCCAACTATTCATTTAATTGACAGCCAGCATTTACCCACCTTTATTCCTCTGATTCAGCAGCAGACCGTTGCCATGTTACAGGACATCAGGATGGCAAAAGTGTGGCAATGAGGGGCTTTTTTTTTTTTTTTTCCAGAAGCAGAATGGACTTTCTGCACACGTGTCAAAATCTTACAACATAAATAAGGTCTTTTTTATTCGATAATGCTTCTGATGTAATTTAACATATCACATAAGCTTAAATAGTTTAGCAAATTCTTTGGTATGCTCCAGGTCAAAAACACTTAAGCCAATGAAAAGTCCAAACAAACAAACAAACAAACTTCATCCTCTTAAAGCAGAGAGAAAACCAAATTCTCATTTTGCACTGGCTTAGTTTTGATACTAAAACTTACCTGTTCCAATCTTTAGTCAGTCCTGACCACATACACAATTCCTTGCCAGAGAGTCCTTTCTTTCTACAACTGTTTTTTCCTCAAAGGATATATCTCCATCCTCATACTTTTTTTAAAAATCAAAAACATGTATTTTACTTCCCTTGCATATGGAGATGTTTCCCTTATTATTTCTAGTAGTGTTAAGCAAATGGAAACGTCAGTTATACCAGCATTCTTTAGACTGGCAAATTTATAAATACATTTTATAATTTTTAGAAGCATTATGTTTTTAATTTTCCAATGTAGCACTAACATATCCAAAATATATTACAGTTTTTCTGTAACAAGAAGCCATGAGTAGATATTTCTTTTTTTTTTTTAAGATATTTTTAAGTAATCTCTACACCCAATGTGGGGCTTGAACTTACAGCCCTGAGATCAGAATCACATGCTCCATTATGCTAGCCAGGCACCACAAGATAAACAAACCTATGTTTGGTAATTGATATTTTAGTATTTCATCTTATTTACAAATGATATAGATATTTAATGAATTCAACTTAATTCATTACTTAACCTAACTTAGAAAAACTTTAGAGTGGGGTACCTGAGTGGCTCACTCCTTAAGCAACTGCCTTTGGCTCAGGTCATGATCCCAGGGTCCTGTGGATCAAGTCCCACATTGGGCTCCCTGCTCAGCAGGAGGCCTGCTTCTCCCTCCTCCACTCCCCCTGCTTGTGTTCCCTCTCCCACTGCCTCTCTCTGTCAAATAAATAAATTTTTTAAAATGAAGAAAAACTTTAGGGTGTTAGGTTACCAAAAAGATTTGGGAGACTATTTAAAAGATTACCTAAATTTTTTATTTGATTTATATCTATTTACTTGTTCTTAATAATTATGCTTGTATTACCCATAAGAACTTCATGAGACATCAGATAAAGTCAGTCATTCTTCCAAGTTATTTTTTTTTAATTTATTTATTTGACAGAGAGAGTAGGGGAGGGGCAGAGGGAGAGAGAAAGAGAATTTTGAGCAGACTCTCCCCTGAGTGCAGAGCCTAATGTGGGACTTGATCTTATGACCCCAAGATCATGACCTCAGCTGAAATCAAGAGTTGGATGCCTAAATGACTGAGCCACCCAGGTGCCCCCTGCCAAGCTATTTTTTTTATCTGTAACAGAAATTATATTACCTTATTTGACTTTAAGTGAATTAAGGCAGAATAAAACTTTTAATTTTAATGCTGATAACTCTAAAGGCATGTCTACTTTAATATTCTTTAAAGATCTGTTTATTTTAGAGAGAGCGAGAGAATGTGCGTGTGCACATGCACAAGCGGGAGGGGCAGGGGGAGAGGGAGAGAGAATTTTAAGCAGACTTCACATGGCGCACAGAACCCAATGCAGGTCTCAGTCCCACAACTCAGAGATCACAACCTAAGCTGAAACCAAGAGTTGGCTGCTTAATGGCACTACCCAGGTACCCTAAGATATGTCTACGTTAATTAAACCAACAACCTTAAAGTAGCTTTCATATCAAATATTTACCCAGATTTTGTGAGCTTGAGAAAATATTTGTATTGGTTTCTTTCTGAGAGTTTTAGGATATCTAATCCTTACCGGTGTTTGCCTTTAAACCAAGTAAACAGAGCTCTTTTACAAATTAATTTTAGCAATACCATCCAGAGGTAGAAAAATACCTCACACTTAATACATACATAGAGAAAGAGAGACAGACAGATGCACACAAAGACCCTATAGTTACTAATATTTACAGATAAGATTTTTTAAGATTTGTATTTGTCCCTAGGATTACTCTTAAGGAGGTAATGCTAGAGTTTGGGAAAAGAGCTCCTTTGCAGGTTTGTATTTTTAAAAAGTCTTCTTTCCCTTTTTTCTCTCAGTATCTGGAGATTGTGGGCTTTGTTTACATTTCTAAGACTTAATAAGACGTAAACTTCATGGGACAGGGAAAGAATGTAAGTTCCTTCAGGAAGGACTCTGCTTTCCTAGAGCTAAAAATTTACAATCTGTTTGAGATAAACAGGGGAAGTTTTGGGATTGGTAAAGAAATAGGTATACTCTGAATTGCTTCTAGAGCTATATTTCTAGTTTTATAAATATTGCAGGATAAGGACAATTGCTTCACTTCCTCCAGGAACTGGGTTGCAACTTAAATGACATTATAGGTTGATCTATCTACTCAACTCTGTTATTCTCAGTTTCCTTCTTTTTCCCCTGGGGACATGGTTCTAATTTTAAATATTTCTGGTGGTACAGAATAACAACCCATGGGTGTAAGAAAGGTCCCCAAAGAGGGTGCAAAGGATATTACCTTCCCAAGATCTAAAGTCACTCCAAATGATAGCCACAAAACCAAAATCTGCATGTCCCATGCGGACAGAAAGACAAGCCCCGTCATGTAAAACTAGAGAAACGAGAAGGCACTACTGGGGGAGAAAGGATCAATAGTCAGTGGGTCTGGATTTGGAAAGGAAGGGACAATGTGAAATTTTATTTTCCTCTCTAGACTGCGCACTACAGACAGAGATTTGAAAAGAACTGGTTCAGGTAAGAATTTTCACCCTTTGTTTTCTTTCACCCTCTCTCTCTCTTTCTTTCAAGATTTCATTTTTAAGTAATCTCTACACCCAACATGGGGCTCGAATTTACAATCCCAAGTTTTTCCAGGATCCCCTCTGTAGGCTCTGGTATCTACCAGACTTTCTCCTTTGCTGTTTGAGGGAATAACGTAGCAGTTTCACCAGAAAATCCCTCCGTTTCAATGACTCTGGGACGGGCCCATATGGGGTCCTCCTATGAAGTAAATACAGGGGTGTATGTAAGGCCAATGTGGTGGAGTTTTGTTTATGGTTGTGTAGTCTTTTCAGAGTGGAAAAAAAATCAGACAAAGGATTAGTAGAACGAGTACTCCAAGGAGGATAAAGGGGAGCAACAGGAACTACGTTGGTCTTACAGTCTTTTGTTTTGGGCACCTCTTCTCCCTTTTTCACTAGCCTTTCGCAATGAGTCTTTTAATGAAGCAATATGGGAATTCTACAACCTTTTAGAGGCTTCTGCTTGCCAATGAAAAAAGATATCCCATTCTGTTTAATTTGGGAATCCTTCCTTTCAAGTGCACTTCTTAAATGATTTTATCAAATTGGAACAGTCCCCATAATGACCACTGTATTTCTAGGTTGTAATTCTCTGGAAGGCTGGAGCAGTTTGGTAGGATTCTCAGCACAAATAGAGTTAACCTATATTTCTGTCCAGCTGCATCTAGCTACAAATGGGGTGCAACTCATATTTCTGTCTGGACTTATTTGACCTGACAGTTAATGAGCCAAGTTTCCCAGGACACTAAACAAGCTTGGTAAGATTTTGCCATTTTTGCAAGATACCTACAACTTCTATAACTACAGTTATTAGACATAAAATAAACAGATGCACTGAAAGGTGGCATGCTTTGACACTTTATAATTTAAGGATTCCATTAGCTAAGGCTTGAGTTCTCAGAGCCAAACTAATACCTAAAAGGGATGGGCTACTGGGCCGGGGATCTTGCATGTTTTACAGAGTACCTCATCATATAGAGGTTTTCTTGAGGTTGGTGGCGAACTTGTATCAATCTAACCCATTTTCTTGAGGTGGTAAGTGCTCTAATAGCCTTCAAATGCTCACCCTGTGCCCACCAATTTTTCCAGTTTTTTGATCTCTGAGATCCCTGTTAGTGATAGCCTTTATCTACACAAAACAAGACAAATATGCGCACCTTAATGTATAAGCGACAACCAAGAGATGTTACTATGTCCCGGCCAAGAGAAGGCCCTGCGCTCACCACAGACAATTCTTGTGGAATCTTGCTGGGGTTTTCCAGCAATTTCAGGGGAATTATGGTCTGAAAGGCTAGGGATTTGCCTTTGGGCAGACATTTTTCCCAGCTCAGCTGGACTCTAGGCAAAACTGCCAGCTCTGGATAACCATCTGGCAGTTCAGGCTGTAAAGGAAGGCCAATTACACTGGGGGAGCTTGAATGTACTAAGAGTGGAGCTCTGAACTAAAAGGGAACTTGCCCATAGCCCTCAGGAACAGCAAGAAACACATGAATTCAAAGGGTTCATGGGGTGCCATGCCTGTGTTTCTCATTGTCCCCGGATGCTGCTGGAAGTTGGCTTTGGATCTTGTTGCCGCCTGCCACCAAATCTGTTAAATAACAATAATTCAACCAAGGAAATTTTCTTTTCTTTTTAAAAAGATTTTATTTATTTATTTTAGAGAGAATGACAGAGAGAGCCAGAGAGCATAAACACGGGGTGGGGGAGAGGCAGAGGGAGAAGCAGACTTCCTGCTGAGCAGGGAGTCCAATGAGGGACTCGATCCCTGGACCCTGGGATCATGACCTGAGCAGAAGGCAGACACTTCACTGACTGAGTCACCCAGGCACCCTCAACTGAGTAAATTTTAAAGATCTAACTAGCTTTATTAATCAATTCATGAATTAGATGGCATCCCATCTAGCAATTACGGGGAGCACCAAAGAGCTACAGAAAAGGAAAGTCTTTTTTTTTTTTAAGTAGGCTCCACCCCCATCATAAAGCCCAACGTGGGGCTTGAACTCATGACCCTGAAATCAAGACCTGAGCTGAGATTAAGAATTGGTCACTTTACCGACCAAACCACCCAGGTGCCCCAGAAAAGGAAAAAATGAAATTATTAGCAAAAAAAATCCATTGTTTTAGGTAAGGCTGCTCTAAGGGGAAAGAAAAGGGCCTACCAGAAACTTTCCTAGTGCTGATGGAAAAGTTCCGCGTTGACAGGTAAGGGTTACATTTCTGGGGAATTAAAACTGCAGTTAGGGAAGGTATTAAGTCTTGGTTTAGGCTGCCATTTTAGGCCTACTGTTTTCTTTCACCCTCTCTCTCTCTCTCTTTCTTTCAAGATTTCATTTTTAAGTAATCTCTACACCCAACATGGGGCTCGAATTTACAATCCCAAGATCAAGAGCTGCATGCTCCACCAACTGAGCCAGCCAGGTGCCCCCTCTTACCATTTTAACAATGTATAGTAATATTTTAAGGACCAAAGCTCACCTAAAGAACACTTTGTCACTAAACTTCGACTGTTCCAGCAATACCTTTATCTAAACCTGAGCCTACCATGAGGTTGATTAAGACTGACCCTCTCTAAATAACCAGGAATTTATAACTTGGAAATAAACTCACCTTCTCTCACCTGATTCCTCCATCTACTATGGCAATCATCCACCTGGGAAAGATGGTCTATATTTCCTGCGTAAGCTATTACAGGAAACCAAAGTCAAGGCTGGAGTTTCCGCAGAGCCCCTCAACCAGGGGGCAAACCTTGAAATTCTCTAAGTTCTAGATCTTTCATCCAGACAGAAAGAGTACAATCAAGAAAGAACCTCAAAAACCCGAAATAATTAATTTTTCACTCTTCTATAGTTTCTCTACTGGTCTATGTTGGCTAAGGATTTTATAAACTATAAATACAACATTTTATTTATTTTAAGTTGCCTTGTCACTGTTTGGTTATACTGTATCAAATACAAACTAAGCAATGGCCCTATCCTTTGTCTTTCGTCTCAGAGTTATCAAATATAAGCCACACATTATTCAGAATACAACATTTAAAAAAATTTAACAGTTTTCTGAAAAACAATATATATAAAAAAGTCAGAAAAGATCAGAAAGTGCTTTCATGTCAGAAGACTGGCCCAGTGGGTCCCCTTACCAGAATACAGAAAATACTCCTGATTATATCCAGGGCACATTAACTTAAAAAAGAAAAAAAATACTTTAATTTTATTCTGCAAGGACCTCTAATGCTCTTAAATATAATCCCAACTATCCATATATATATTATTTAGTTTATACTATGCATGGAGAAACCCTCAAGTTTTCTACTTACCAAGGCCACTATTGGTATAGGCACACCAAATATCTCTTCATCCACTGATCCAAAATTGTGGCTTCAAACAAAATTGATTAAAAAGTCAGTCACAGCTCTAGAAACATTAATTCTCAAATTCAGCAAATTGATTTGTAGACCAAAAAGTTATATAATGAACATACAAGCACCTCAAACAACAACTAACAAAATGCTTTCCCCACTAAGGCAAAATGAATTCAGGGACAATTTTGCTAGTTTCTATAACTGATGTTCATTATTACCTTGTATCCCTCACAGGAGGCAGCATAGACAGTGGTACTGAAAGCAGGGAAGCAAGGATCCTGCTCCAGTGCATCTGAGCATAAAAATATGTCATCAGAATCCAAACTAAATTATACAAAAATTGTGATTCAAAAGGAAAAAAAAACAACAACTTTACCTTAAAAGGGTCAAATAGTCCAGTTGCACTGGCATTTGAAAAATCTGTGGCAAATTCAGAACCTGAATTCACATTGAAGATATTATATTATCAAGTAGTATCAATCAACAGCTATCCCTCTATCCCTAGTTTATAATCTAGACCTCTGTCTGGCCTCAAATTCATTCCAAAATGTGTATTTCCAGTGCAAAGTCTCCAAAGCAATTTCCCACTTAATCTTTTTGAACTTTTATAGTTTACGAAATCTCTTTCATATACATTGTCATATCGTGATCCCCAGTTTATTTTGTTATTTCTTTTAAAGATTTATTTATTTGAAAGAAAGAGAGAGAGAGAGAGAGAGCACTCGAGTTGGGGCAGGAACAGAGGGAGAGAATCTCAAGCAGACTCCCCACACAGGTAAAGACTGACCTCAGGGCTCTAACTTATGACCCTGAGATCATGACCTGAGCCAAAACCAAGAGTTAGAGCTTAACTGACTGCCACCAAGGCATTCTGATCCCCAGTTTAAGGATAAGGAAAGGGGTTCAAAGGTGTAATATGATTGCCTATAGTTACCCAGCTGCAAAGGACAAATTTGTTACCCTACTCGAGTCTTTACCACTTTTGAAATTAAAACTGTTCCTCCATCTTGTGTTTGAGGTCTCATCACAATTTAAAAATCACCCTCACCTTACAAATCTAAAATTTATCTACCTTTACTATAACATGTAGTTACTCCAGTACCAAGGAGCAGTATGTCTGGGATAAGGGAAGGGGAAAAAAAGTAACCTCCACTTTTTTAGGTGAATCATTTCTATCAATCAAATTTCAGTTACTTGAAATAGATCTATCAGATCATCTTTACCTTTTGTGAGCTTATGTAACAACCAGGTATCAATAGTCCCAAAGCAGCAATTATCTTCTTCAACTGCATTTTGCACCTAGAAAACACAACGTCACAAAACTGACTCAAAAAGGCTAAATTAGGGGTGCCTGGGTGGCTCAGTGGGTTAAGCCTCTGCCTTCGGCTCAGGTCATGATCTCAGGGTCCTGGGATCAAGCCCCACACTGGGCTCTCTGCTCAGCGGGGAGCCTGCTTCTCCCTCTTGCTCTGCCTGCCTCTCTGCCTACTTATGATCTCTCTCTCTCTCAGTCAAATAAATAAATAAAATCTTTTTTTTAAAAGGCTAAATTATGAAGTGTATGATTAAGTGCCAATCAGTAAATACAATATAATCCCATTTTTTGATAAGAATGAATATATATAAAGAAATTATTTTTAAAATATACCCCAAACAGTTCTAAGCAATTACTGTAAGGTAAAAAGGGATTTAATTTTATAAGAAGCATGTGTTACTTTTGTGATGAAAAAACAAAGTAAATATACATATTTTTAGCTTAGACATATGAATATGTCTACACAAAGTCTAAAACAGGATGGTATACTATGATTACAGTTCAAATCCAACTCACTGCCTATTTCTGTACAGCAAGTTAAGAATGGTTTTTAAATTGTATAATTGTTTTTTTAAAAAGAATACTTTGTGACATATGAAAAATTATATGAAATTCAAATTTCAGGGTCCATAGATAAAATGGCACTGGAATGTAGCCATGCTCACCTGTTTCTGTGTTATTTATGGCTGTATTCGCACTACAATGGCAGAGAAGTTGTGACAGAAACCTTATGGCCTTCCAAGTCTAAATTATGACTATCTGGCATGTTAAAGAAAAATGTGCTAATCCTTAGCATAAAGCATGCCAAAGGAAACAAAAGTATCACAACCTCTTTAAATTAGCCAACAGAGACGATGAAATGATTGTTGAGATATCTTTTTTTTTTTTTTAAATAGGCTCTATACTCAATGTGGGGTGCAAACTCACGACCCAAGATTAAAAGTGGCATGCTCTACTGACTGAGCCAGCCAGGTGCCCTGAAGTATTACTAACATAGTGGAAACCATGCCCTTTATCATAATTCACCACCTCGCCAACTCATTTGTCCTTCAAGACTAGCAGCTCCTGGCTTTGTCCAAGCCAGCACTCTACGGAAATCTTCTAAACCTTATCTCACATCATTACTTCCCTGTTAGATCCTCAGCTCCTTAAGAGCAGGACTACATTGGTAAGTCCAACACCTAGGAGGGTTCCTGGCATATAGCATATGCTTAAAACATGTCTCCTAAATAAATGAGATAAAAGAATAGCAAATGAATACATTTAAGGGTGAATTATATTTCAACAGCAGAAAGGATCAATAAAATGAAAACATGTGACATAAGCTCCAAAAAAGAAGTCATTTGTAGATTATTTATAACAAATATTTGAAGATTCCATTCAGGTTTTATACCACTTAAATATGGAGTGCTTAAAGTAATATTACTTTATTTCAAATTCTTTTTAAATTTAGAAACTGCAATTCTAAAATTTGTTCCATATCAGAGAAAGATTAATCTGCATTTCAGTAAGCAGCAACAATGCCTGACAAGTAGTAAGTTCATCTGTTCCTTCAAAAAAACATTTGAGGGGCGCCTGGGTGGCTCAGTGGGTTAAAGCCTCTGCCTTCGGCTCAGGTCCTGATCCCAAGGTTCTGGGATCGAGCCCCGCATCGAGCTCTCTGCTCAGCAAGGAGCCTGCTTTCTCCTCTCTCTCTGCCTGCCTCTCTGCCTACTTGTGATCTCTGTCAAATAAATAAATAAATAAAAACATTTGAGAGTCAGGTCCTCTGATAGGCCCACTCAAAAACAGAGTCCATATTAGGGCTTCCCAAACTTGCTTTCGGTTAAGACTCCAAATAGCTCTACCCTGTAAGTAAGGGTAAACTAGAAAGACAGGCTCTCACAGGAAATGAAGCTGTTTTGAATCACCTCAATCACTAACCTGGGTTGAAGTAATCCTTGTGCCTAGAAGAATGGAAGAAACAGGGCACCTGGGTGGCTCAGTTGGTTAGGCAACTGCCTTTGGCTCAGTCATGATCCTGGAGGATCAAGTCCCACATGGGACTTCCTGCTCAGCAGGGAGTCTGCTTCTCCCTCTGACCCACTACCCTCTCATGCTCTCTATTCTCTCTCTCAAATAAATAAAAAATCTTAAAATAAATAAAATAAAATCACAAGGAGAGATCACTATTTAGCTACTAAAGTGGCTAAAATTAAAAAAAACACTGATAATACCAATTATGATGGTACATGAAATATGAAGTCCTCTCATTGATTGATGGTGGGTAAATAAATTATCAAAAACTGTGGGAAAATTTTGGACATTATCCACTAAAAGTGAAGAGAGATATACATACACATTCATGCCCTAAAAACCCCATTCTCATATATAAATACAGCAGAAATGCTTTTATATATACTCCAAAGACAGCATTATTCATAATAGCCCCAAAATAGAGATAACTCAAATGCACACGAACAGAATGGATAAATGGATAGTGATAAAATCATATACTGAACACTAAATAGCAATGAAAATATAAGAAAATTAATTTACACATTAATACAAATTTTTTAAAAATTCAGGTAAAACTACAGTGTTGAGGAAAAAAACACCTAAGTAAAAAAGTAAAAGTTGAAAGAAAATGGGATGCATAGTATCACAGTGTTCTATTTCTTGATTCAAGTAGTGTTATACAGATGTTTGCTCCACAATCAATGAGTGGTAAATTTTTGTTTTGTCTGTTTTCCTATATGTATTATGACTTACAATAAAAAGTTAAAAAAAAAAATAGAGTAAAGATTCCTGTATTCCATCCCAATATGTAGTGGACACTTAATTTTCCCTCAAATAATCTATTGTTATTCCTTTACTTTTTATTCCCTATAGTCCACACACACACACACACACAAACACACACATACACACACAATCTTTCCTTACCTCAACCAAGTTCTGTAAAATCCAGGCCAATCTCAAAGAAACATGCTGGTTTGTGAAACTGAACAAACTGACTGTTAAAAATCGTTTATTTCTAGTAAAAAAGTGCAGCACTCGGCAGAAATTCTGTAATAGCTATTAAAAAAAGACATTTTAGGAAAATACATTTAATGATGTTTGATATTTCTATATTAATTCTACACACATGAAAACAAACCCAATAACAAACGAATCATTCAACTACTTATAGGATTTTTAGCACTTAAAGAAAAGAAGTAAAGTAATATTACTCTAAGTGGATAATTTGTATTCTAACATATGAAATGTAACATATCTACTATGACTTTCTTTAGCAAACACAAGAAGTTCAAGATAAAGTCTTTTAAAATAAAAGGGAGAGAGTCAAGGGAGAAGGTTATATTCTGATTAGAAACATATTTTTAGTGAAGTCAGTATTAAACCATAAGGGAAACTCCCCTACACATTAAGTACCTAAAATGTGGGGTATATGATTTCATTTAATACTATCTGTACTTATCTCAATCAAAGCTGAAATATATATAGTTTAAAATATACTTCTTAGTAAGCAAAATCTTAAATTAAAATGAAAAAGTCTTTCATAGAAAGCCAGCTTTGAGTTTTAAAGTTTGTCAGAGTAAAAAATAAATAAATAAATAAAAGAATAAAAACTTTATCCTGCCACCTACTATAAGAATGCAGATGGAGGGGGAGGAGTCAAGATGGCGGAGAAGTTGCAGGCTGAGACTACATCAGGTAGCAGGAGATCAGCTAGATAGCTTATAAAACCATTGCAAACACCTACAAATCCAATGGGACATTGAAGAGAAGAAGAACAGCAATTCCAGAAACTGAAAATCGACCACTTTCTGAAAGGTAGGACCGGCGGAGAAGTGAATCCAAAGCGACGGGAAGATAGACTGTGGGGGGAGGGGCCGGCTCCCGGCAAGCGGCGGAGCAACGGAGACAAAATCAGGACTTTTAAAAGTCTGTTCCACTGAGGGACATCGCTCCAGAGGCTAAACCGGGGTGAAGCTCACGCGGGGCCAGCGTGGCCCTAGGCCCGCAGGGTCACAGAAGGATCGGGGGTGTCTGAGTGTCGCAGAGCTCGCAGGTGTTAGAACGGGGAAGCCGGCTACAGAGAGCCAAGGAATAAGCTCTCAGCTCGGAGTTACCTTGAACTGGTCGCAGGCTGGGTGAGCTCAGAGTGCGGCCACAGGCCAAGGAGACGGGAGTGATTGGGCTCTTTTCTCTGAGGGCGCACTGAGGAGTGGGGCCCCGAGCTCTTGGCTCCTCCGGGCCAGAGACTGGGAGGCCACCATTTTCATTCCCGTCCTCCGGAACTCTACGGAAAGCATTCAAGGGACAAAAGCTCCTGAAAGCAAACCCGAGCAGATTACTTAGCCTGGCCCCTGGAAAGGGCGGCGCAATTCCGCCTCAGGCAAAGACACTTCAGTGATTTAAGAATCACTACAACAGGCCCCTCCCCCAGAAGATCAACAAGAAATCCAGCCAAGACAAAGTTCACCTACTAAGGAGAGCAGCAGAATTCCAGTGGAAGAGAAAGCAAAGCACGGAACTCATGGCTTTCTCCCCATGATTCTTCAGTCTTGCGGTTAATTTAATTTTTTTTAATTTTATTTTTTTCTTCTTCTGCTAAATTTTTTTTAACTTTTACCCTTTTCTTTTTTAACATTTTTTTACTAGTTTATCTAATATATATATTTATTTATATTTTTTCTTTATTTGTTTTCTTTTTTAAATTTTTTTTTTCTGAACTTCTTTTTATCCCCTTTCTCCCTCCCACAATTTGGGGTCTCTTCTGATTTGGTTAAAGCGCATTTTCCTGGGGTCTTTGCCTCCCTTTCAGTATTTTGTTCGCTCCTTCATATACTCTTATCTGGACAAAATGACAAGACGGAAAAACTCACCACAAAAAAAAAAAAAGAATAAGAGGCAGTACCAAAGGCTAGGGACCTAATCAATACAGACATTGGTAATATGTCAGATATAGAGTTCAGAATGAGGATTCTCAAGGTTCTAGCCGGGCTCGAAAAAGGCATGGAAGATATTAGAGAAACCCTCTCTGGAGAGACAAAAGCCCTTTCTGGAGAAATAAAAGAACTAAAATCTAACCAAGTTGAAATCAAAAAAGCTATTAATGAGGTGCAATAAAAAATGGAGGCTCTCAATGCTAGGATAAATGAGGCAGAAGAAAGAATTAGTAATATAGAAGACCAAATGACAGACAATAAAGAAGCTGAGCAAAAGAGAGACAAACAGCTACTGGACCACGAGGGGAGAATTTGAGAGATATGTGACACCGTAAGACAAAACAACATTAGAATAATTGGGATTCCAGGAGAAGAAGAAAGAGAGAGGGGAGAAGAAGGTATACTGGAGAGGATTATTGTAGAGAATTTCCCTAATATGGCAAAGGGAACAAGCATCAAAATCCAGGAGGTGCAGAGAACCCCCCTCAAAATCAACAAGAATGGGTCCACACACCGTCACCTAATAGTAAAATTTACAAGTCTTAGTGACAAAGAGAAAATCCTGAAAGCAGCCCAGGAAAAGAAGTATGTAACATACAATGGTAAAAATATTAGATTGGCAGCAGACGTATCCACAGAGACCTGGCAGGCCAGAAAGAGCTGGCATGATATATTCAGAGCACTAAACGAGAAAAACATGCAGCCAAGAATACTATATCCAGCTAGGCTATCATTGAAAATAGAAGGAGAGATTAAAAGCTTCCAGGAAAAACAAAAACTGAAAGAATTTGCAAACACCAAACCAGCTCTACAGGAAATATTGAAAGGGGTCCTCTAAGCAAAGAGAGAGCCTAAAAGTAGTAGATCAGAAAGGAACAGAGACAACATACAGTAACAGTCACCTTACAAGCAATACAATGGCACTAAATTCATATCTCTCAATAGTTACCCTGAATGTTAATGGGCTAAATGCCCCAATCAAAAGACACAGGGTATCAGAATGGATAAAAAAACAAAACCCATCTATATGTTGCCTACAAGAAACTCATTTTAGACCTGAAGACACCTCAAGACTGAAAGTAAGGGGGTGGAAAACAATTTACCATGCTAATGGACGTCAGAAGAAAGCTGGGGTGGCAATCCTTCTATCAGATCAGTTAGATTTTAAGCCAAAGACTATAATAAGAGATGAGGAAGGACACTGTATCATACTCAAAGGGTCTGTCCAACAAGAAGATCTAACAATTTTAAAAATCTATGCACCTAACGTAGGAGCAGCCAACTATATAAACCAATTAATAACAAAATCAAAGAAACACATCAACAATCATACAATAATAGTAGGGGACTTTAACACTCCCCTCACTGAAATGGACAGATCATCCAAGCAAAAGATCAACAAGGAAATAAAGGCCTTAAATCACACACTGGACCTGATGGATATCACAGATACATTCAGAACATTTCATCCCAAAGCAACAGAATACACATTCTTCTCTAGTGCACATGGAACATTCTCCAGAATAGATCACATCCTTGGTCGTAAATCACGTCTCAACCGGTATCAAAAGATTGGGCTCATTCCCTGCATATTTTCAGACCACAATGCTCTGAAGCTAGAACTCAATCACAAGAGGAAATTTGGAAAGAACACAAATACGTGAGGACTAAACAGCATCCTTCTAAAGAATGAATGGGTCAACCAGGAAATTAAAGAAGAATTGAAAAAAAATTCATGGAAACAAATGATAATGAAAATACAACGGTTCAAAATCTGTGGGACACAGCAAACGTTTGTCCTGAGAGGAAAATATATAGTGGTACACGCCTTTCTCAAGAAACAAGAAAGGTCTCAAATACACAACTTAAACTTACACCTAAAGGAGCTGGAGAAAGAACAAGAAAGAAAGCCTAAACCCAGCAGGAGAAGAGAAATAATAAAGATCAGAGCATAAATCAATGAAATAGAAACCAAAATAATAAACAAACAAAAACAAACAATAGAACAAATCAAGGAAACTAGGAGCTGGTTCTTTGAAAGAATTAATAAGATTGATAAACCCCTGGCCAGACTTATCAAAAAGAAAAGAGAAAGGACCCAAATCAATAAAATCATGAATGACAGAGGAGAGATCACAACTAACACCAAAGAAATACAAACAATTATAAGAACATACAATGAGCAACTCTATGCCAACAAATTTGACAATCTGGAAGAAATGGATGCATTCCTAGAGACATATAAAATACCACAACTGAACCAGGAAGAAATAGAAAACCTGAAGAGACCCATAACCAGTAAGGAGATTGCAAGAGTGATCAAAAATCTCCAAACAAACAAAAGCCCAGGGCCAGACGGCTTCCCGGGGGAATTCTACCAAACATTTAAAGAAGAACTAATTCCTATTCTCCTGAAACTGTTCCAAAGAATAGAAATGGAAGGAAAACTTCCAAACTCATTTCATGAGGCCAGCATCACCTTGATCCCAAAACCAGACAAGGATCCCATCAAAAAAGAGAACTAAAGACCAATATCCTTGATGAACACAGATGCGAAAATTCTCACCAAAATACTAGCCAATAGGATTCAACAGTACATTAAAAGGATTATTCACCATGACCTAGTGGGATTTATTCCAGGGCTGCAAGGTTGGTTCAACATCCGCAAATCAATCAATGTGATACAACACATTAATAAAAGAAAGAACAAGAACCATATGATACTCTCCATAGATGCTGAAAAAGCATTTGACAAAGTACAGCATCCCTTCCTGATCAAAACTCTTCAAAGTGTAGGGAAAGAGGCCACATACCTCAATATTATCAAAGCCATCTATGAAAAACCCACCATAAATATCATTCTCAATGAAGAAAAACTGAAAGCTATTCTGCTAAGGTCAGGAACACGGCAGGGATGTCCATTATCACCACTGCTATTCAACATAGTACTAGAAGTCCTAGCCTCAGCAATCAGACAACAAAAAGAAATTAAAGGCATCCAAATCGGCAAAGAAGAAGTCAAACTATCACTCTTCGCAAATGATGTGATACTATATGTGGAAAACCCAAAAGACTCCACTCCAAACTGCTAGAACTTGTACAGGAATTCAGTAAAGTGTCAGG